AGTGCATTCATGCAAAGCAATTGAACCATGTTCGCTCACGACCGCCGTGTTCACTTGCTGTTCGCCACAGATGTCTTAACCGAGTTGTGCGGCCGAGTCCGTGTGCTTAAACCCGTGTCTGTCAAACGAAGTGGTTGGCACATTTAGTTTGGGTGAACTAGTAAAAGGACAAATGACTAACGGCCAGATAAAATGAAGTGGATAGGTGGGCGGTGGTGCAAGTAAGTGGTGAATGGGCAGGCGGTTCCCTATGATTGAGTCGCTGTCGGCAGATTGGGTGGTGTGGCGGAGTATTCTGACACAAGATTCGACACGATTCACTAGACCGCCAAGATCTGGTTACCGTCGACTTATTTGGGCATAATTTTTGCACTACAGTAAATGTCTGGACGAGATTCCTTGCGGAAACAGTTCCAGATGAGTGGGCATTGAGGCCTTGAGAGACTTCGACATGACGATTCCAATCTCGTGACTCCGTTGAAGGCGATCGAGACGGGAATCTGCCTGGACGCATAACTACGATTGCATCTGACATGCAGCAGGCGGTAAAAATGATGTTGTGGTATTCTAGAGCCAGTACAGACGAGCCCCGACTTACAAATCTCCAAACGCAGTTTGTCCGAGAATAGCCATAAGATAGCGAGGATACATGAGAGCATTCTGATTCAATTACACTGAAACTGTTTTAATTCCTACAAAGACTTTGAAGAGTACAAACACAAAGTGCCGATTTGTGAAGATTTGTCAAGAAGTGAAAGTACATTTCCTCTTTCGAGGGTTAAAACAAAGGGTTGCACGCAAAGACAAAATTGCAATGTTGAACTTAAATGTACGAGTACTACAACTGTTGACGATCCAGGGTTCCCCCACGATGGCTCATCGGCGGTGTTCGTCGTTGTTTACACCAATCACCTAACCACGCCACATCACCCACGGTATCCTACTGACAACCACATCCACGTTAATCCGTTTTCATCCATCAGGTTAAAGACACCCATGACGTATGTCAGTATTGGCATTCTGACTGGGGTGATTAAAGCCCTCTGCACGATCGCTGTTCTTGTTCTTACATTAGCGTGGGAAGGTCGGTTTTAGAGATAAAAAGGGATCTGGTACCAACACAGTGTGTGACCGCTCGACCATGCAAGAATCACTTAACGGAACTGCAGTTTACGATTGGGCGATTAATCAACCAGAATGCCATTCTTCAATCAACATATGTAGCAGGGCATCCTCCAATTTCCCCAGCAGATGCCAATCTCTCTGCCCGGTCACTTTCACTCCATTTCGTGAAGTTGACAATTCACACCACGAAGGAATCAAAAAGGCTTGCACTAGAGCATTGAAATTGTGGAGTTTCCAAGCATCGTGACTGTCCGCCAACACACGAATTGCAATTACTTAGTGCGGTTTGAAGGCCTTTGTGTGTGTGTGTGTGTGTGCTTTGCGTGTGAGCCTGGACATTTGTACGTCAAACTCATCTAATCTGCCTCATTTGTCTAAATTCGATTAAATTCTAGGAAGCATGTGTTCTGTGGGCATTCTATTTATCCAACTACAATAAATTCCTAGCTCACCCAAGCGTACCTACAAGATAACAACACAACTTTTACTGCTTCACTTTAAACGCTACAAAGAGATTACGGAAGACACGAAACCCCGTGAACAGACAGATGTACCACTATGCAGTGATGGATAGTGGATAACACAAACAGACCAACGTATCACCAGCAAACGCCCTATAACGTGTCAGAGTCTCCTTTCCAGCTTCCATTTTACCGACAGTCACAGATTTTGCTCCGATGTTGAGAGTACGTAAACGATTCAATCATGAACACTTTGCCATCATATACTTGCTCGATTTTGTAACCGCAACTGGTGTGGATGCCGCACTAGCACACTCAACATTCCGGTTTCAAGGTTATCCACCCCTGGTCAACTCCTGATAAATCATCAGAACCACCGTTTTAAAGTCGAGTTAGAACTAATGGGCGAACAGGCCGTGTTTGAAGAATCAATTTTGAATGCTAACGGGCTTACGGTAAACAAGAACACCGTCTACAGCAATGCCACATATTTACTTTACTGCTTCAATTTAAGCTGCTTCAAACGCTTCCAAGGGAAGACAAAAAACGGAGAAACCTTTTAGTCAGATGTATTTCCAAGATTTGGCAAATTGTGCAGCAATCTTTCCTGTACCTTCGTTACATTAGTACGAGTTTCAATTTTTAGCATAAATGAGTAGTTTAATTTCTTCCCAATGAGAAATCTACACATCTTGTAAAGCAGTCTAGTAGTGTCAAGCTCAAACCAACTTCCTGTTTCCGATGGCCCCCTTACTGGCATTTGAGGTTGCGGTTGCCGCCAAAACTAGGCAGCGGAGGCAGACAAACATTTTAGCATGTGATCTTGGTTCAACGAAAACAGACAACAGGCAATGCCAGAGGCTGTATTTCCAAGTTGTGGTCTCTGTCCGGCCATGTTCGAATGCCTTTAACACAATTCCATTAAACACACTATTTTTGCACCTCGTTAATTGTCTCTTAAATGCATTGGCCTCTCTCCATGTCTGCAACTCGTGATAACATTTCGTCCGGCTCAACTTGTCATCGATAGTTCAGTGCTGGCCTAGTTCACGTCACATTCCTTCCTCGTGGCACTTCTCGCGAATTCCTCCTGGTTTCACCAGTGGTGCGTGTGTGTGTGTGTGTGCCGTATCAGTTTCCTGGTTCCAGCTCGGTGAACGGATCATGCCCACAAATGTTCAAATTCAATCAACCTTATAAGACGCCACTGTAACTGCAATTTCCTTGTTACGATTCTCTGTACGCGAGACATCTCTGTCAATACGCACTGCCAGTCATTTCGCCGTATTCCCACTAACCACATCTGCATGCAGTATCGTCTACTGATCAAATTAATGTTAAGGAATGCAAACTCACAAAGTCATGTGATCATCTGTAGATACAGGTAAACAAGGCTGTTTTCTCAATTTCCCCACCCACACGCAAATCTGTCGTGTTTCCATTGCAACCCGCTACTTCTGCTCATATTGCCATCTCTCGCATTCAAGGTCACAAAACGCATTGGATGCTGCAAATCTTGATTCCTGATCTACTCACCAAAATTTGAAGCGGCGTAGCTCAAACACAGGAGTTCCAATTAGCGACTGCCACTGCATTGCACACCACGTGATGCTAATCCAAGAACACCACCTACAAGAATGTCCTAGTCTCGGTGTATAAGCACCTGAGTATGTCGGGTAACATTTACGGAGATTATGGTTAGCATTGAATTGAAACTTGCAGTGTCCATATTAATTAGCTGAATTACTACCGTGGTCATTGCCAAATCATCCTCAGACACATAGACGGGTGTTCGTGGCGCTCAACGTTGGCCCCACGCAAATTATTCTACCATATTCTACTTTGCAGATAACACACTTGCATCTCCGACTAACTGACTCGGACGTAAACTCAACTTTAGTGCATTCTACATTCTTTTGTGGTCTTCTCTGGATCAACTAACCTGATTTTAACTCTCCTGGAAGTCATCTGACCCAACATTTTGTGATCGGACTGAAAATCTGTTCTTGAGAGGAACATTTTGGATGCCGTCTCGTCTACTCACTGATTTGACCTCACACCAAGCCCAGTGATTCTTACCAACTTAAAACACACACACACACACATCACACAAGTGAGAATGCAGCATCCGACGTCGCCTCATCGCACCAACCACATGGTGGTCGTGTCATGGCAAGAACAGCTAGGCTACGGCGGTGGACTGTCACGTGAGGGGTATGAGTAATATTACATCCAGCCAACCAGGGCGTGAATCACCCTCTCCCTCCGTTTGTTCGCCCAATCACTTCGTCGCCGACTTAGCATGTGCTCCATCGACAACGACTGTTCCACAAACCACCCCATCTGCCGTCACCTGTCTTGCACCTCCGTCTGTTAACTAGTAGGGTCGACAGGTGGTGCTGACAACACTTCACCACCGTCTTTACGAACCAGTCTGCATGCGTTTCGCAATGCTCAGATCAGACTCACCAGCGATTCACCTACTCACCTGCCAATCCCCTCGTTTGTTGGGTCTCACAGTGTGGTGATCTCATCCAGGTACATTTTCCTGACACGCACAGAGGCTGCACGATCCCCCAGCCAGACACATTTTTCTCCCTATCTAGACACAACTGCTTACCAACGAGACTCTGACTAGGTAATCGTGGGTTGTGAGATGATGACCTACGAGCGATGGTGTGGCTCAATTACACCGAGAAGCTGTGAAGACGGCTTCACTTCGAGATGTCCAGGGTCGACAGCCAAGAGTTCTCTAATGAGACATTTGTGCACCAACTTCAAGCGCACGAGATCCACATTCCAACTCATCAAAGGCTTCCCGCAGGTCTACTGCAGGCTCGGTTACCACTACCACCACCACTCCTAATTGTACGCAGTTCATGGTTAACTCCCTCCTACGTTATCCCTCGCATCTCCAGGCTCCTGAACCTATCCACATATTGAGCTATTCACACACCAGATATTCGCTGTGTCAAACAGTCTAGGAGTTGCCACAACGTCTGCTGCGCTAACCACACATCACCGCGGTCTTTGCTTCAAATGGAGTACACTCCTCGAAATGCGGGGTCAACGATGTGCCCCACCCGTGCCTGCTGAAAAGGATATAACCACTCCTTAATGAGGCCTTTGGTGTGACTGCGAGTCATTCTGCTCTTCACATGATCTTACCAATTGGTGTTGTCGACATCGAGGTAACAGTCCACGGGTGTTGACTACTTAGATTACTGTTCTTTTGTGCTTGCTGCATGACGTGGTGTGATTTGATTACCTGTTTTATCAACCAATGCATAGTTGAAATGCCAAATTCATGTTTTCAGTCCATGTTATCCCAACCGTTTTGCTTCTTTTAGCGAAAGGAATCAAGCAAGAAGTTAACCCTTTAATAGCCGGTTCCGTTGTCTTCTTGAGGAAATTTTAGGCCAATCGAGATCCATTTCCTCCGTTTCTTCGCAACTCCACTCCTCTCTTTATCACTTTTTTTGTCGAATTACGTCCAAACTTGCTCTCTACATTGTGTTCATTGTAGTCCTTATTTCAAAAATGTTCCACTTAATGAATCACCCTATCGTTAGTAAGTGGTTTACTGGGTTAAGGACATTCGGTTTTACTACCTAGTGAATTTGAATCTTACGCAATAGACAATCTATGGCCTTGGCGGCAGCAACAGCCGCAGCACAAGCTACCTTTGCACTTTCGAGATTCAGCCAACTAATTTGGATTAGCCTGCTGGTGGGTGGCTCAAATGAAATTCTCTGTTGAAGGCTGAAACAACATTTTTTGGGTGGCTCAATCAAGTTGTGTCGGAGTTGTTGACTAATACAATTTGGGTTAGGCAGTTGAACCAACTGAATAGCGAGATGAGGCAAACAAGTGGCAAGGGAGGCCCACGCACAGGGGGTGAATGAACAGATGGTTCCTGTTTTTGACGTGACGCTATAACAAAAGGCGTGTGTAGTGTGTTGGAGGCCATGGCGACAGGGTTGGTGGTCATGAGTCAGCACAGTTCGTAATGGGTCCATCGAGTGGCACGCAGGTTTAAACTCGCTCGTTTGAAGACTAACGGATGTTTATGGCTGGCCTGAGTGAAACAGCATTTGCCTAAACAGTGTAAGAGAATGCAGCCATCACCTCAATCTCCTTCATAACTCGCAAAACCGTCTCCTCGTGCATTGGGCGACCTACGAGTTGAACGGCCAGCGGAAGTCCCATCGTGGCTTTTTGCATCTCATGGAGTTTTCGCGAGACGTAACTGCCACTAGTAGTTCGCAGCTCCTGTGCCATCTTTAGGGCTTCCGCCTCGTCGGACTCTGTCACGTGACTGACAGGCACGACTCCAGCAGGGAAGTCGGTTAAATTCCACAGACCACAGTAGGACTGGCAGGACTCCAACAAAATGCTCGAGACGCTGTCGCTGGGAGCTGGAAATGCCGTGGCGGGACAGAGGATTAGATCGATGGGTCGCGGTTGAGCAGTCACCATTGCCTGCGCGACCTTCTTTACGTAACTCGCGACGTCGCAGTTGAGACGCAGCATGTCTGCGCCACGCTGTCTGCCGCACGTGTTTATTGCGTACTGGGCAAAGTTGTGAGACGTGCTCCTGATTAATAATGATAGAAAGCGACGCAAGAATGCTGGAATTTTTAGAAAGGAAGTGATTGTTTGAAGGTGCTCGTTGATAGGCTCGTCATGCAGTGCGCCACAGTACTGATAACCGCCATCTGCGTAGACACATGCCGTGAACAACTCCTCTCCATACCTGGGATTTGGCGGTTGGAAGGGGACAAGGGTGTGACCCGCCTTCTCTAAGAGATACCTCACCTCCGCCAGAGCCCGTTGAACTGCTGGTACAGGGGCCGGGATGCCAGATTCACTGAGTTCAACGTAATACCCAATAACAAGCCTCGTGTTGTCGGCGAACTTGGCCTCATCGAACGGTATAGGCACCGTGTAGGGGTCGAGTTCATTTTGCAACGGCTGGCACAAACAGCGCATTCCATCCACAAGCGAATCGACTTTCCGCGACAGTAAAGAGACCGTTGAGTCGATATGCAGAACTGCCCGTTTGTATCGTGTAAACACACCGTAGAGGCTGACACGTCGAGAGGTTGGTTTGAGACAGCAAATACCACAAAAGGACGACGGAATTCGACTGCTTCCACCGAGGTCCGTTGCGAATCCGAGCGGCGAGGCTCCTGCGGCTATCAACATGGCTTCCCCTCCTGAACTACCTCCACTCAGACGGGCGTCATCCAAAAGATGTCTCTGCTTGCCGTATATTTCGTTGGAGGAATTCAATGACAGACCAGCTGGTGACATCGAGGATGAAATAAATGGAATGGCTTGTCCAATCTTCAGCATCTTGACAACGACTGCGTCGACCGTCGCTGGATAGAGGACTTTTTTAACCAAGCCGAGAGGACAGTCATAGCCAATTATTTGAATTTGTTCTTTCAAAGACACTGGAATCCCGCAGAGTGGCAAAGCCGGGTTGATTGCAGTACACCCAGAGGCTACCTTCTGCGCATCCAGAAACACCTCTGCAATACAATTCCGTGGTAAAAGTTTAGCAGCACGTCTCTGGAAGGCTTGTAAAACTTCTAGCGACGTCACACGTCCTGCTTGGAGCTCTCTTCGCAATTCCGTTGTTGACATTTCACACAAAGCATCGTTACTGGCTGTCGGTGGAAGGCTTTCCAGAAATCTGACTCGATCCTTTTCTAGCTGTTTGTGTTTCTTATATAACCGAGACTCCAAGTTACGCCTGTGCCTCCATTGTCTAAACTTGACGCTTGCTAGGTAGCAAATGATGAGCGAAGCCAGAATCGGAAGGCCTCGTTTACTTGCTGCACAGGCTATCACAACTTTAATCTCCATGGCTGCTGTGGAAATAGGACATCAAGGTTAGCAAATTCTGACAATCCATTGGGTTAATCTCTTGTATTAATGTCTTAGACCATACATAGTGGAGATTTATTTAACATAAAATTTATTCGTAAAATGCTACTTAATCGCCTGACCAAATCGTGTTCTTACATTATCAAAGGCAAAAATGGAAGGCTTTTTGTATTGCAACGCTGTTAATCATCAGAGAAGCCACGTACCATAAGTCACTCCGACCAAAACTAATTCCTAAAACGCGCGTCGTTTTGTTTACACTTCCAAGGACGAACCTAGGGCTAAGGGGCAGTGGCTAAAATTAGCGCTGTATTAGCTATTGGCTGAGTTAAGAATTTGTCATTGTGCTTCTTATTGGCTGATGCTCGCAGGACTAACCAGAATCCCGTCATTGCGCTAACGTGTGCGCAGGTTTTTGCAGTATAACTATTTGTTTAGGATTCATTAACTAGCAAACCACGCGCACTTTTTTCACTCATGGAAGACGGTTTTCTTCTTTAGCTAAAGGAAGCGTACTGATTTGGACAACATTTAAATGAAGACATGAATTCGGCATCCCAACTATGCATAGCTAAATAACACAGGTAATCAAATCACACCACGCCATGCAGCAAGCACAAACGAACAGTAGTCAACACCCGTGGACTGTTACCTCGATGCCGACACCGCCAATTGGTAAGATCATGTGAAGAGCAGAATGACTCGTAGTCACACCAAAGGCCCCATCTAAGGAGTAGTTATATCCTTTTCAGCAGGCACGGGTGGGGCACATCGTTGACCCCGCATTTCGAGGAATGAACTCCATTTGTAGCAAAGACCGCGGTGATGTGTGGTTAGCACAGCAGACGTTGTGGCAACTTCTAGACTGTTTGACACAGCAAAATGCAGGTGTACAAATAGCCCAGTGTGTGGATAGGTTCAGGAGCATGGAGATGGGAAGGATAACGCAGGAGGGAGTTAACCATGAACTGCGTACAATCGGGTGGTGGTGGTGGTAATGGAGCCTGCAGTAGACCTGCCTGAAGCATTTGATGAGTTGGAATGTGGATTTCGTGAGCATGAAGTTGGTGCACATGCGCCTCATTAGAAAACTCTTGGCTGTCGACACTGGACATCTCGATGTGAAGCAGTCATCACAGCTTCTCGGTGTAATTGAGCCGCACCAGAGTCTCGTTGGTAAGCCGTTGTGTCTAGATAGGGAGAACAATGTGTCTGGCTGAGACATCGTGCAGGCTCTATGCGTGTCAGGACAATGTACCTGGATAAGATCACCCCACTGGGAGACCCAACAAACGAGGGGATGGGAGATGAGTAGGTGAATCGCTGGTGAGTCTGGTCTGAGCATTGCGAAACGCATGCAGACGGGTTCGCAAACACGGGGGTGAAGTGCTGTCAGCACCACCTGTCGACCCTACTAGTTAACAGACGGAGGTGCAAGACAGGTGACGGCAGATGGGGTGGTTTGTGGAACAGTCGTTGTCGATGGAGCACATGCTAAGTCGGCGACGAAGTGATTGGGCGAACAAACGGAGGGAGAGGGTGATTCACGCCCTGGTTGGCTGGATGTAATATTACTCATACCCCTCACGTGACAGTCCACCGCCGTAGCCTAGCTGTTCTTGCCATGACACGACCACCATGTGGTTGGTGCGATGAGGCGACGTCGGATGCTGCATTCTCACTTGTGTGATGTGTGTGTGTGTGTGTTTTAAGTTGGTAAGAATCACTGGGCTTGGTGTGAGGTCAAATCAGTGAGTAGACGAGACGGCATCCAAAATGTTCCTCTCAAGAACAGATTTTCAGTCCGATCACAAAATGTTGGGTCAGATGACTTCCAGGAGAGTTAAAATCATGGTAGTTTATCCGGAGAGGACTCTTCAAAGCCTCTATAGCAAATAAATCAGTTTCAGCGTAGTTGAATCAGAAAGCTCTCATGTTTCCTCGCTACCTTTTGGCTATGCTCGGACAAACGGCGTTTGGAGACTTGTAAGTCGGTGCCTGTCCTTACTGGCTTTAGAATGCCACATCATCATCATCTTTACCGCCTGCTGCATGTCAGATGCAACCATAGTCACGATTCCAGACAAATTCGCATCTTGATCGCCTTCAACGGCGTCACGAGTTTGGAATCGTCATGTCGAAGTCTCTCAAGGCCTCAATGCCCACTCATCTGGAACTGTTTCCGCAGGGAATCTCGTCCAGACATTTACTGTAGCGCAAAAAAATTGCTTAAATATATAGACGGAAACTAGATCTTGCCGGTCTAGTGAATCGTGTCGACTCTTGTGTCAGAATACTTTGCCAACACTACCCCCTCTTCCGACAGCGACTCAATCATGGGGAACCCTCTGCCCATCCACCCCGTACATGCACCACCGCCCACCTATCCACTTCATTTTATCTGGCCGTTAGTCATTTGTCCTTTTACTAGTTCACCCAAACTAAATGTGCCAACCACTTCGTTTGACAGACACGGGTTTAAGCACACGGACTCGGCCGCACAACTCGGTTAAGACATCTGTGGCGAACAGCAAGTGAACACGGCGGTCGTGAGCGAACATGGTTCAATTGCTTTGCATGAATGCACTTCACGTAATTGTGTTCTTTCAGGGCTGCATAAACTGAGATTTTACGTTGTACACCTACACACACACACACATACCACCGCTACTTTATCAATAAATAAGTTGAACCACGCGCTGTCTGCATTTCCACTCTTCTTTCTACAATCAGGCCCTGTCAGTGCAGGTCGTCGGTCCTGGTGTGGTTCTCAAACTGCATTGGGGCCTACAACGCATGTAATGCACGGTTGCATTTTCGCCATCTCTGACCTTCTCAGGTATCAGTGTGGCTCAATCGCCCAATTACATCACGGCTTTCAACCGTGTATCCAAAATGGCAACTATGACAAGCTTCATTGGGAGGAAATGAGGCGGTCGACAAAGTGTACGTTTTATCCTAAACACTAAAGACTACGACAATAAACCGGGCGAACAATAAATTGGGCAAATTGTAAGCAGCTATCGGTAAGAATCAGAATTGAAACAACGAATGTAGTGCTTGGCAAGAGCATTTACAAACTATTGCCCTTGCAGTTGCCCTTTTTTTATTATTGGGAATCCTCACATACGCACAAATCGAGCCAGTGGTACAACTGAGGTTCACCTACGAAGCATCAAATTGGTGGGGCAAAATTTGACTTAATTTCAAGTGGCAAGATGTGCGCTTTGTCTTGCCTTTGCTGCAGATCCACTTTCTTTATAGATCACCCAAAATACTTGCTGGTTTTGTTAATCCTGCAGCAGGCTGAAATTTCTCATGTTCACCTCTACTGTTAACAGACCCTGTTCATCCACTCTCGTACACG